GTTGAGCTATAGGTGCCGAGCCATAAGTAATTTTTTTTTTTGAGATAGAGTCTCGCTTTGTTGCCCTTGATAGAGTGTTGTAGCATCACAGCTCACAGCAACCTCTAGCTCCTAGGCTTAGGCAATTCTCTTGCCTCAGCCTCCCAAGTACTTGGGACTACAGGCACCCACCACAACACCCAGCTATTTTTTGTTGCAGTTTGGCCAAGGCCAGGTGTGAACCTGCCACCCTCAGTATATGGGGCTGGCGCCCTACTCACTGAGCCACAGGCACCACTCTATAACTAATTTTTGAACCAGAGTCTCAGTCTCACCCTAGGTAAAGTACCAGAGCATCATAGCTCACAGCAACCTCAAACTCTTGGGCTCAAGTGATTCTCCTGTTGCAGTCTTCCAAACAGCTGGAACTAAAAGGGACTACCACATAGCCTGGCTAATTTTTTTTCCTTCTATTTTTAGTAGAGATGGGGTCTCGCTTTTGCTCAGGTGGTCTTGAACTCCTGTGTTCAAGCAATTTACCCACCTTGGCCTCTCAGAGTGCAAGGATTATAGGCGTGAGCCACCTCGCCCAGCCATAAATATATATTTTTAAAAAGCCACTTCCAGGCTCGGTATCTGTGGCTCAAGTGGCTAAGGTGCCAGCCACATACACTTGAGCTGGTGGGTTAGAATCCAGCCCTGGTCCACCAAACAACAATGATGTCTGCAACCAAAAAACAGCCAGGCATTGTGGTGGGTGCCTATAGTGCTAGCTACTTGGGAGGCAGAGTCAAGAGAATTGCTTGAGCCCAGAATTTGGAGGTTACTGTGAACTGTGATGCCACAGCTCTCTACCCAGGGTGACAGTTTGAGGCTCTGTCTCAAAAAAAATTTTTTTTAAAGCCACTTTCTAAGTCAGCTACAACAGGGTGCCAGTGGCTATAGCAGAGATGCAGCAGCAGCTGCTTCCAGAACCTAAGCAGAAGGTAGAAGATTTAAGGTGTTTCTGCAGCTACTAAGGAAGGGGCTGGGAAAATGGTAGACGTTCCTCAAGGGGGCTCTCAAGCTTATGCCCCTGCCCAGAGGCATCTTTGGAACAATATGGGGCAGTCCAGATCACACAGGGCATGTTCTCCATTTGAAGAAACCTCAAGTTGGAACCTCAGAGAGCAAGGCGTTGGCAGGTCACATGTGTGTCTCAGGGAGACTTCGATGTCTATCCTGCATATCAGGCTGAACTGTACACCCTAACAGCAAATGGGGGTAAAAAGGAAGGTCCAAGTATCTGTACTTAGAATGGCTAGAGTTTAAGAGAAAAGGGAATGAGGTAGACAAAATAATTGCTCAAATCTTCCCCACTTTGTTCTCATATTCCATGCCTGGGAAACACTGGGTTTGGTTAGTTTGGTACTTTATCCTGCGAAAAGCTGGCCCTAACAGAGAAAAGACCAATTTATGTAGGAACTTTACAAAAGCAGTTTCTTTTATTTATTTATTTATTTATTTATTTATTTTGAGACAGAGCCTCAAGCTGTCCCCCTGGGTAGAGTGCCGTGGCATTACAGCTCACAGCAACCTCCAACTCCTGGGCTCAAGCGAGTCTCCTGCCTCTGCCTCCCAAGTAGCTGGGACCACAGGCACCCGCCACAACGCCTGGCTATTTTTTGGTTGCAGCGGTCATTGTTGTTTGGCGGGTCCGGGCTGGAGATTCGAACCCGCCACCTTAGGTGTAGGTGGCTGGCGCCTTAGCCGGTTGAGCTATAGGCGCCGAGCCACAAGAGCAGTTTCATTCTGAAGACTTCCTGAGCCCTGACACAGTGCCTTAAGTCCTCCCACCCCAAATATACCCACAGGTCTTTCCAGCTCTGGATTGGATTGGCTCTGAGTGACTTCCAGGGCATGTTCTTCAAGTTCTCTCTCTCCCACACTGAATTCCTATCCACCACTTGCTGCCTGCCTCCTCTTTTCCTCTGAGTCTTCAATTTCTCCCTCAGTGTTTCTTTGGCTGTCAGACTTGAGGTGCTGAGGGAAGGGAGTGCCTAGGCAGAACGCGCAGCAAGACAGCTATGGCTCAGACAGCTCAGCCGGAAAATCTCAAAGGTCTTTCCTACCCTTCTAGAGCTTCTGGGCAAGGAGGGCGGGATCTTGGTTCCAGGGTCTCAGTACCCCCTGTGCCATTTGAGCTGCTTGTGCTCATCATCTCTATTAATAACTACCCCCCTCCCCCACTGCCAGTGCTGCACCCACGCCTGCCCAGCTCATGTTCTCCGGTCACAGCAGCTCAGTCCTCCAAAGCTGCTGGACCCCAGGGAGAGCTGACCACTGCCTAAACAGCCGGTAAGTCCCCAGCCCTATGGTTAGAGGGGCTGGAGCCCACTCTGTTGATTTCTGTGTCTGTGTCTGCAATTATGAAACTATGATTCTTGATCCTGGGGGAATAGCCCCCCTCCCCATCTATGCACAGCTCCCAGCTGTCCAGTTCAGGGGAGCCACAGAGAGTTGGAAGGAGGGGGGCCCAGGAGGTTTGAGGGAATGGAGATGTTGGGGATGCACTGGAAAAAAAGGGAAACTAGACCCACTAAGTTAGTAGAGTTGTAGATGTGTTTTTGAAACAAGACTCAGCAGAGGATAGTATTTTGCTAAGTGCCAACTTCTGTTAAGGAGGGGCTGGAGTCTGTATCGTTTCATAGCTTGTTCCCTTCCACTGCCATATCCTATTACTATGTTCTGTCCTTCCTCAATGCCTCGCTGCTACAGTATTGCTGAATTGACACGTATTGGTGTTCAGATGGCCCTTTCTCATCACTCTGCTCTGGGGTCTGGAGTGAGAGAGACTAAAGGAGCCAGGACCTCCCAGGCCCAGTTCCAGCTGGCCCAATGGAAGAGCAACAACTCTTCTTCCTATAGAGAATGTTTTTGGCTGAATCTCCAATCTCGTCAAGCCTGGTAGAACATTCCTCTCCTCCCACCCCCACCGGGGTTTGAGGGAAGACTGAGGAGAGAACAGCACCTGGAATCATAGCCCCAATCTGACATCTCAACGCAAATAAAAACTTCAAATAATGCCAAGCCAATGAAACTTGGGTGCATTGCCCTGCCTGTATTATTGTTGTTTTTTAAACATCTGCACTCCTGGCTATGTTCCTAAGCTACATATCCACTCTATGTAAAACAGCTCACAACAGGCTGATCCAAGATGGGGGCTGGGGTACATCTAAACTTCTGCCCTCCCTCCCGAGAAAATGGAAGCCTTAAAGCAATGGTTCTCAACCTTCCTAATGCCGTGGACCTTTAACACAGTTCCTGTGGGTCGTGACCCACAGGTTGAGAACCACTGCCCTAAAGCAATGAGTTTTCACCTTTTGGGGGAATACATAGTTCTTTGAAAATATGATGCAATTTTATCCCCTGAAGTCTTTAACCCCAGGTTAAGAAGTTTGCCCTTGGCCAGCAGTGTCTTGGGCTCGTATTCCCAGGAATTTGGGAAGCTGAGGCAGGACCATCACATGAGGCCAGGAGTTTGAAACCAGTTGGGCAACATAGTGAGACCCCCATCTCAACAAAAAGTTTAAAAACTTAGCTGGGTAGGGCAACACCTGTGATTCAAAGGAGTAGGGCACCGGCCCCAAGTGCTGGAGGTGGCGGGTTCAAACCCAGCCCCGGCCAAAACCAGCAACCCCCCCCTCCAAACTTAGCTGGGTATAACAGTGTGCATCTGAAGTCCCAGATACTTCAGAGACTAAGGCAGGAGGATAGCTTGGGCCCAAGATATTTAGGCTGTCGTGAGCTAAGATCACACAACTGCACTCTAACCTGGGTAACAGAGTGAGACCATGTCTCTAAAAAGAAAAAAATAGCTGGGTGCGGTGGCTCACGCCTGTAATCCCAGCACTGTGGGAAGCTGAGGAGGGAGAATTGCTTAAGCTTAGGAGTTCAAAACTTGCTTGAGCAAGAGTGAGACCTCGACTCCTAAAAAAATGAAAAACTCAGCCAGGTGCCACAGTAAGTGACTGTAATCCCAGTGCCTTCCAGAGGATACGGCAGCGGGATGCCCACAGCCCAAGTCTGAGGTTGCACTTGCACTGAGCTATGATGCCATTGCACGCTGCTAAGAACACGGGTGGGACTCTGTCTCAAAAAAAAAAAAAAAAAAAAAAAAAAAATAAAAATAAAAAAGAAAATTAAAAAAAAGAGAGAGAGAGAGAGAGAGAAACAGGTGATGCCTATAGCTCAGTGGATAGAGCACCAGCCACGTACACCCAGGCTGGTGGGTTCAAACCCACCCTGGGCCAGCTAAATAGCAATGACAACTGCAACAAAACAATAGCTGGACATTGTGGAAAGTGCTTGAGTCACAGCTACTTGGAGGGCTGAGCCAAGAGAATAGTTTAAGTCCAAGAGTTTGAGGTTGCTGTGAGTTGTGACACCACGGCACTCTACCAAGGGTGACATACATAGTAAGACTCTGTCCCAAAAAAGAAAACAGAAAAGAAAAGAAAGAAAAAAACAGTCCCAGCTGGGCAGGGTGGCTCATGCTTATAATCTCAGCACACTGGGAGGCTGAAGAAGGTGGATGACTTGAGTCAGGAGTTCAAGACCAGTCTGAGCAAGAGACTCCATCTCTACTAAAAATAGATGAAAACTAGTAGGGTATGGTGGCAGGTTTCTGTAGTCTCAGCTACTCTGGAGGCTGAGACAAGAGGATCACTTGAGCCCAAGAGTTTGAGGTTGTTGTGAGCTATGACTCCCCAGGACTCTACCCAGGGCGACGGAGTGAGACTTCATCTCAAAAAAATAGAAAACTAGGAAAAAAAAAAAAAACCAAGCAAACAAAAAAACTAATCCCTATTCATCCTCCAATTCCTTATCTAGGCTGACTCCACCTCCACAATGCCACTCTCAGGAACTCCAGCCCCCAACAAGAAGAGGAAATCCAGTAAGCTGATCATGGAACTCACTGGAGGTAGGGATATTTTCATCTACCTAGAATGGGATTTATTCTTAAGAGCATCATTGGCTGGGTGCAGTGGCTCACCCCTGTAATCCTAGCACTCCAGGAGGTTGAGGCGGGTGGATTGCCTGAGGTCACAGGTTTGAGACCAAACTGAGCTAGAACAAGACCTCATATCCAAAAAAATAACCTAGCATTGTGGCAGTAGTCCCAGGTACTTAGGAGGCTGAGGCAAGAGAATCACTTGAGCTCAAGACACTGAGGTTGCTGTGAGCTATGACAGCAGAGCACCCTACAGAGGATGACAAAGGGAGACTCTTTTTCTAAAAAAAAAAAAAAAAAAAAGCATCCTTGATCCAAGAGTCCCAGCAATATCATAAAGTCATATATGTCTTAGGATGAATAAACAAAAGGAATTCCAGTATCTGAAGGGCAGAGTGGTAGGGAGACAGGGGTGGGGAGAGGGTAAGAAAGGTAGGGAGAAAGAATCCACCACTGACTACTCATCCTTCCACCATTTTCACCTTGTAATCTGAAATAACATCCTGCCATATTGCCCAGCACAGGTCCAGGGCCAGAGGGCACATGGGTCAGTGAGGTATAAATAAGGAAGGAAACATGACTAAGGCCTCAATAGTTTCTTTACTTAAAAGGCTAAGGGGACACATCTCCCAATACCAAGGTTCTTAGGAGCCAGAGTTCACGGAGGAGAAAAAAAGGGAAGACAGGAGTTAAGACAGGAGTCTGAGGCCAGGCACGGTGGCTTAACACCTGTAATCCTAACACTCTGGGAGGCCAAGGCGGGTGGATTGCCTGAGCTTAGGAGTTTGAGACCAGCCTGAGCAAGAGTCTCTACTAAAATTGAAAAACTGAGGCTAAAGGATCACTTGAGCCCAAAAGTTTGAGGTTGCTGTTAGCTATGATGCCACGGCACTCT